GGTATTGGTTTTAATCATATATAGGACATAGACAAATTACATTTTTATTATTAACCCAGGTGCAGCCTATCCACCTCCAAGCTTGAGCAATCATGCTAGGGGGTTTCTGTGCTCTGCCAAGTGTGATGTAGTGGACTGCTATTGTTCAACTGTTTTAGACCATAGTTTCAGACCAGAGTCTCATGGTGTGTGTGAGGGGGCACCTTCCCAGAATGGAGTCTCAAGTGCTCCCAAATGGAGTCCCTACTGTCAAGGTGTTACTTCACCCTCACGAGAAGTAGTCAGAAGGCCTTCATGGGGTCCCCTTGGTGACATTCTCTTGGCTCCTCGGCAGCTGGGCCTCAATACGAGGGCGTCAAGGATATTCCTAAGCACCTCTGGGTCACCTAAGCAGAAACCGCAGCCATCCAAGCAGTCTGTCCCCATGTGTCAAGGAGACTCGCTCGCCTAAAATTAAACTGCAGCATTTCGTCCTGCATGCCTGAGGGCCGTCCACCATGCAAGAGCAAAAGTGTTTTCTTGCAAGAGAAGCCAATACTGGCGGCGTGTCCAGTAGGAAGCATGGTCTCACATGCACAGCGCGTCCCCAGGGCCCTCCAGATGGACTCCAGAACCCAGCTGCTGCTGGACTGGGGAGAGATGGACAGTGCCGAGTCCCGAGGAGGGCCCCCGCCTCTCCTATCATGGACGGAGTTCTGCTCCTGGAAGTATTTCTCCTCGTCGTCTAGGAAGCCGTTCTCCCCAGCACAGGGGCAGTTGGGGCTGCAAGCTACGCAGCCTGCTCCCTGCTATTCCTGAATTGACTCCTAGGGAGTATAGAAGCGGGCAGAGCAAGGACAGGCCCAGCAGGTGGAGACCAACCTTCTCCTTACTGAGCAGTGACAGCGCAGCGTCGGATAGGGATGGCTGGGTGAGCAGCGGCATCTTGCGCGCACATGTGGCTCAGAGCGTCCCGGTTTCGTGACTTTGGAACGGCTAGGTGCTTCCAGCTTTAGTCTGGTCCAGCCCCAGCTGTTGCCACCATCTGGAGAGTGACCCAGAGAATGGAAGATTTCTTTATTTCTCTCTGTTTCTCCCTTCCTCTCTATCACTCTGGCTTTCAAATGAATAAATAAATCATTTAAGCCCCCTCACCTAAAACATAAATACCTACCTGAATAAACTATTAGACTTAAAATCTGATCACGTAGTAAAAGGAAAGTGAAGAATCAAAGGAATCACCTGTTTCTGAGAGGAAGGTAGCAAAAAGAGCTGAAGCTTGAGAGGAAATGCCTTGACAAGGCAGTGTAACAAGGGAAAGGAAATGTGGGGGACTGAAGGGCCTCACTGCTCTTGGCTTGCAGGAACACTGTCTCTTGCCTCAGACCTGTGCAAGCTCTCCAGCTCCTGCACCTTGCAGGTGCTCCAGACACTGAAGGCTACAAGCTTTTCATTGATGCTTTGTTCTAGAATTGAGAGAGCTGAGGGAGCTGTGGGGTTCTTTATACAGGATGTGAAAATCCTGGGCCTTATATTTCAAGGGAAGGCAATAGCCTCTAAGCCAGGGCCTGCAGACTGCTAAGCGCTCATTTTGCTGATACACTGTCTTAACCCTTTGTTAAGATGCTGCTTCTGATGTACAAGGCAGTTGAATTTTGCATAATGCCCTAGATTTGGACATATGGGCAGCACTGCATTCAGGAAGAGCTGGGGACACTGGAGTGGAGAGGCTGCCTCAGAGGTGAAAAATGTCCTCTTGGAAATTGAGTAGAATCTATTTTTTCTCACAGACTTCTATGTACTCTTCAGAAGGGTTGTGCTTGATAATGCAAGAATTATGAGAAATAGAAGTTGCATCCTTGGACAAAAAAAAAAAAAAAAAAAAAAAAACCTCATGGAATAGATCTAAGTTTACTGAACCAAGCAAGAGTTTGAAATGGACTTTGAGCACACCAAAACTCCCTAAGAATCCAATTCTGACCATATAAGAAAATGACTTTGAGGACAAATTTCACTTTTCATTTCCAGTGCAAATAAAAATATTTTTTTAATGTCTGCCAACACTCTAGCCACTAGGGCTTTTTGTTATCTGCTTTAGATGATACTGGCAAAGAGGATGTGATTATTGGTGGGATGGCAGCAAAATCCAACAATGCAGGGAATCTACCTGAAAAGATTCAAAAGAAGGCTTTGATTCCAATAGGGCTATGCCACCAATTTCTGAGTTAACATGTTTGGGGAGTGTGGGGGGAGCAGTGCTGTGGCATAGCTGGTAAAGCCGCTGCCTGCAGTGCTTGGGCCTCTGCACCCATATGGGAGACATAAAGGAGGCTCCTGGCTCCTGATTCGGCTTGGTGCAGCTTCGGCCACTGCGGCCATCTGGGGAGTGAACCCTCTCTCTGCTTCTTCCTCTCTGTAACTCTGCCTTTCAAAACAAATAAAAATAAATCTTTTGAAAGGCAGAGTTACAGAGAGAGGGAGGGGAGAGAGAGAGAGAGAGAGAGAGAGAGAGAGAGAGAGAGAGAGAAAGTCTGCCATCCGCTGGTTCACTCCCCAGATGGCCGCCACAGCTGGAACTGAACTCATCCAAAGTCAGGAGCCAGGAGCTTCTTCCAGGTCTCCCACATGTGTGCATGGACCCACGGATATGAGCCAACTTCTACCATTTTCCCAGGCCATAACAGAGAGCTGGATTGGAAAAAGAGCAGCCAGGACTAGAACTGGTGCCCATATGAGATGCCGGCACTGCAGGTGGCAGCTTTATCCACTATGCCACAGCACTGGCCTCAATAAATAAATCTTTAAAAAAAAAGGGGGGGGGGTCAAAGTTTTGGCAACCAAGAAGTCTTCTTGTCATGCTCTGAAACTTGCTAGAACCTTGGCTTATACCTTTTTTATCCTCTGCTCTTCCAAACTCCTTTAGATCTGTAAACCTGGGGAGACTTCAGACACTGGGGACATGACAAGGGAAATCCTGTCACAGTACACATTTTTGGGATCATGGAAACATCTTGTAGTTAAATGATTTCAAGGCTAGACTGGCAGGCCAACTGCCCTCCTGTAACTGTTCCTTATCTCTCTCAAGAATGAGTTGTGGCTTAACTGATAAAGCCGCTGTCTGCAATGTTGGCATCCCATAAGGGTGCCCGACCCATCCTGGCTGCTCCACTCTCTGCTAATGGCCTGGGAAAAACAGCACAAGATGACCCAGTGCTTTGGCCCCTGTGAACCCATGGGAGACCTGGAAGAAGCTCCTGGCTTCTGGCTCCTGGCTTTGGCTTGGCCCAGCCCTGGCTGTTGTCGCCATTAGGGAGTGAACCAGTGGATGGAAGATCCCTCTCCTTTTGTAATGCTGACTTTCAAATAAATAAATAAATCTCTAAAAAGGAAAGAAAGGAAGCAAGCCAGCTTTTGTAAACTCCATCTGCAAACTCAACAGAGACATCACTTCCCTTTGGTTGTTTTACACACTTAGAAGCTGGCTCCCAGCAACTTTTACTGCTATTTCACCTCATCCCTGGTGAATGCCAGAGCTTCAGTTTTGAGCTTACTCTACATCCTCTGGAAGTTGTCACTTCAGATTTCTCTTTGGAGGAAAGCTAAATGTTCAAGATGAACTTTTCTAAGGAGTTTACCACAACACACCCTGAGAGAGACGATCAGTTCAATTATTTGAGTTGATTTCAATCAGCAGTCATACTGTCCATATTAGCACAATTCTCAGTTTTTCCCTTTGCCCTGATAGACAAGGCCACGGACTTGAAAGAGGACACCCTCCAGGAGGACAAGAATAAGTAAGAATCTGAGGAGGAGAAGTAGAAAGCTAGGGAGGCAAATGGGACAGAAATTGAGGGCTACAAGATGGCTCAAGTCATGTCTTTTTTTTATCTTTTCTCTCTCGGTGGAATAATCCAGGTCAGTGCAAATGCCTGAACTGATATGTGAGTAGGAAGGAGCAGTGTGTGTGTGTGTACACAAGAAAGCACTAAGGTAGCAAAGATCCAGTTTGCTAAAGTACACTGATTTAAGTCTTTATGAGATGGTGCTATTGTTCTACTTTTAGCATATTTGTAGTGATACTGTTAGACCAAAACACTTGAGACCAAGGATTCTTTGAGCCTTAGCAAGAAAAGGACTGGGTCCTTGGACAAATTCCCCAGCCCCCAGGATTAAGGCTGATCGTTGGAAATAAGTCCACTGGACTAAGAGCCATTTTTGTAAAAAAAAAAAAAAAAAAAAGAAAGAAAGAAAGAAAGAAAGAAAAAGAAAAAATTAGAAAAGGAAAACCTATAAATTGTTTATATTGAACTTACAGTGGTTATAGATAAGAGATGAGAGAGATTATATTAAGCAGGGTAAGTTTTGGGGTAGGAGGCCAATCCATAAAAAGTAGTTGTGGTTTCTGGATCGGTTGAGGTTCACTGTCTTGAAAGTGTATACAAAAGCAGGAGGCAGTGGCTCCTATGGGATGTTCCTATGGGATCATAGGAAGAGAATGTGGTGAGGCTGTAGATTTTGAAACCCTAACCACCACTGAGCTTCCTGTTACATGAGAAGCAGCCCTTCTTTCCTTGTTTGAGGCGGTTTATTTGCATTTTCCTGTAAAACCTGTAAGGATGTCCCCTGAATAATTGTCTTAGAGGGGCCTACTGCTCCCCTTCAGGACCTGGCACCACCACGGATCATGGCTCTGGGCTGCAAATGAGATGTAAATTGCAGCAAGGCCTAGAGGGAAAAGTACAAAGAATAGTGAGCTATGAGTAAGTGAAAATACAATGAGTAGCACTGCAAGCTTTTGCGAATTTCCGTGGAAAGAAAGTGTGAGGGCTGCCTGTATGAGTCCAAAGGGAGTAGATACAAAGAGGAAAAAGATTTACCAGTTAATGAGGCTAGATTAAAATTATCAGTGTAGATGCAATAAGCAGGGTTGTGGAACCGAGCAGAGTTTCAAGTACTTGCTCATTAATGGCAGTCAGTACTCCCCTAAGCTAATAGCCACCTGCTCTTCAACGAGGAACAGCCAGGGCTGAGCGCGAATGCAGTACTCTACTACTACAAATTCTGCAGTTGAGTTTCCCGTATGTGGGGAAATTGCAGGAATCAGCACTTCCGCAGTACAATTGGAGAGCGTCGCCCTGGGAAAACCACCTGGCGGATCATGGTGTCCCCCCTGCCAGGTAAGTATGAGTTGTTGACATTCCGCCCCAGCACAGCATCACACGCCCCGCACTCTCCACACGCGCTCACTTTGCGCCCCTCAACCTCCCCCGCCCCGGGCCATCTTCGCCCTCATGCACGCACAGCGCACGTATGTGCCGCCAGCGGTCCCGTGCTTTCTCCCACAGCACGGGAAAGCGGTCGTGAATCTACAGCAGGTCCCCGACCAGCAGCCCCTGCGTTGCGTTGCTCTATCTACATAGCCCCGCCCCGTCCGGGACGCCACCGCAGGCGCCCCGCCCACCCCGCGCCTTGCAGCAGAACCACCAACGCGCCCTCGTCCAGCTGAGTGACAGCTGTGCCCGTCCCGTCCCTCCCTCCCCCACCCATGCGGGCGCCGCGCGGAGACCCGATCCTTCTCCATGCATTACACCTGCTTTGATAAGCCTGAGGAGCATCTACTCTTTGAACTGGAGAAAAATCAGGGGAGAGCGAGCACACAGTCCCCACTACCACACATTCTGCAGTCGAGTTTCCCCCATATGGGGAAGTCGCAGGGGTTAGCACTGCCGCAGTGAAATGGACGAGCCTCGCCCTGGGAGCACTGTTACCAGAGATTGGCAGGCTTCTTGTCTGGGCCCAAGCAAGAAATCAGGCGTGAGACAGAGAGTAAGCGGAAAGCAAAACAGCAAGGTTTATTAGGGCAGGGCCAAAGTAAGAATGGATGGGCACCTCTCCAGACAGACCCTGAGAGAGAGAGCCCAGTCAGTCCCTCAGACTGGGGGAGAGTGAGGTTACATGGTTGAGTGGAGAGAGTACACCTGGGCAGGCCAGGCGGGTGGCTCAGCTGCCAGGCAGAGGGTTGAGGCCAGGGGCTCTGAAGGGGATGGGCCTTGCCTTGCTGCCTCTGCTCTTCCTGGAACAAAGGACTTTTTGGATGTAAATGCGAAAAGTTCCTATCTGAGTTTTCCTTCTGAAGTTCTCAGAAACAGCAGGAAGCCTGGCTGCCATTGCCCTGCTTAGAGGAAGGATGGGCGGGACCCTCTGGAAGATCCCTAGGATGTTTGAAGTGCACATACTGGGCTGCACCTGGAAGGTGATCAGGCAGAAGGGGCGGGGACCCCCACCTGGCAGGTTACTGGGTAGAGGGAGCAGGGCAGGATGCAAATACTGGGCTGCCCCTGGCAGGTTATTGGGGTGACTTTGAGATGCATATGCTGGACCTACATGTCAACTCTTTAGGCCTTTGTCACACACACATAAGCTCATATGTGACTTCCTACCTACAGAACCACCTGCGTGATCATGGTGTCTCCCCTGCCAGGTAAGTATGAATTCTGCCCCTTCTGTCCCAGCACAGCCTCACACAACTCTCTGTGCACACACACAGTGAGTTCCTCCTGCTTCCTGGGCTCTCCTTGCACTGATCCTCAGATCCCAGCGAGTTTCCTGAAACAGGCTGTGATGTGACCTTTTTGTCGCCCGGGACTTGGGCGTACTTCCTTACCCGGAGCCTGAGCAGCTGACCCCGCTGGCCCCAGCTGCATGGTCGCTGTCCCCTCTGCGTTTTTCAGGCAGCGCCCTTCGCCCATCCCACTTCCTGCCCGCGTCAGCGCCTTCCTCTCCCGAGTGGAACGATGCGGCATAGCTGCTTCAAATGGGTTGTGACCTAGGCGGCTGGGCCCACGTTCTTGGGCAATCTTCCCCTGCTATTCGCAGGCCACAAGTAGAGACCTGGATCATAAATGGAGCAGAGGGCACCTAGACCAGCACCCATATGGACGCCGGCAATGCAAGCGGCCCCAAAATCGTTGTTTCTGTGTCAGCAGACATGTGTTCTCTTTGTGAGAAGACTCACTGGAAATACTGTTTCTCGACCTGGTCTTTGGCTAGAATGTCGTATTCAGGAAAGCTCACGGGCCCAGGCTTGGCCAGTTTTGAAGAACGGAAGTTGACTTGATTGAACCAAGAAAGCCCCTGGAAGAACCCTGCCCTTGGCGCGGGTCTCACAGGTTCCCAGCCTGGTGACAGGAAGGCCCAGGACCAATACAACCATTGTGAGGACGACAGGAAGAGAGGAACTCAGCCAACAGGAGAGACGTTGAAGGCAGACTTGCACAGCCAGACCTGCCTGTGTCTTCCCACCATAGAGAGGCATTTAAAGAAGACTCCTCATTAAAAGTCCCAGCAAGGCCAGCTTAGAAGGAGCTTATATAGCCAACTGCTATCCTAGCTGCGCTCAATAACCAGACCATGCATTAAACTAGACCTAGTTGAAGTGCCAGTGAGCCATGGCCTGACCAGAGTCACTCCTTTTTGTCCTTGTCTTGGTATCCTCTGTTTTCCCTAACCAGGCACACGACTGCCATCTATTGAAAAACTGATCTTGTAAGAATGTTATCTGTAAGGCTTGGTTACATAAGGTCAGGAAATGTGTGAGATGCCCCCGAGATAAGCGGATCCTGCTTCTCTAGCTTCTGTAACATCTGCTTGGCTAAAACACAAGTTCTGTAATTCATTTCCAACTAGATGTGGTTTTTGCCTTTACAAGCTTACCCCTGAGCTCAGTCAGGGCTGCATGGTTTGGAGAACACATGCCCCATGCAGCCGCCGGCCTTCAGAAACAAAGACGCCATAATATTGCCCCTGGGACTTCGGCATCTTTTGTAACTCACTGTCCCAAACCTAAGTTTGTCACTGGGATTATCTTTATTAAAAATGGGGCCACAGTAGGGGGAAAATTTACAATTCAGGGAAAAAAACTATATAGCATTTTAAATATCAGATTGTGGTTGTTAGGTCTGGAATAGCTTGGGGTGTTGGCCTTTTTGACTCCCAGAAAGGAGAGACGGAAAAACGAGATGGAAACCAACCTCAACAGACAGGTTCCTTTATTGGAAGCAGAAAGGTTGGCGACTGTTCTTGCCAAGAGACTGTGCACAGGGCGTGTTTGGGACTCAGGTTTTATCTGCTTCGTAGAGAATTTGCCACTCGGGGCAGGAGTGGAGAAGGCAGCTTGGGCAAAGCGGGTGATACTTTGAAGCCTCAGGGGACTTCCCCTGAGCATACACTGAGTGGCAACCAATACTGGTGCCACTCACCCTGGTTGGAGAATGCAGTGGTGCATATGGGAGTGTCTCCTGTGACTGCCACCCCAACTATTCACTAGTGAGCAATGGCTTCTACCCCATGACTTTGGCTTCCACTGATGTAGAAGTCTTAGGTTGTAAGGCTGAAACCTGAGGCTGTCCAGTGGGGCTGGGGTCTGTGGGCCCCTCAGGTGTAGCTAGAACCTCCTTCACAGGCAGGCTGCCAGCTGTGGCTGGAAAGGTTGTCTCCAGACCAACCGGCATCTCCCCTACTGATAGCTGCTTGTGCTGCATGTGTGATCCTGGGGCTTTAAATCACACCTCCAGGGTGAGTGCACTCTTTCACCCAGAACAGGCAGGGGAAGGCACTGAGCCCCTCGGGAGAGTTAGACTGGCTCTAAGGAGATCCTGGCTATCTTGTGTGACCCTTGGCTTTTTAAATCACACCTTCAAGATAGTTATAGTCTTCCACCCAGAGCTAGCAGAGGAGGGGACTGGGCCCCTAAAGAGACTGGCTGTCTCCAGGAGACCCCCGCTATCTTCATGAGCCCCACGCCAGTCAACATACAGTATGTGAAAGCCCTGTCCCATGGGCGCCCCCAATAGGATAACCTAATGAACAGGCAGTAATGGCTTAAAACTTGGGACATGTCCTCAAAGCCAGTGTCCAGCTCAGGCACTCCGCTGCTCTCCTCTCGGACCAGAGGCCTTCTCTGTCACTTGCCAATGAAATACAAGTTTCTTTTCGAATAAAAGTTTCTGGCTCTCTGCCAACTGTTTCTTGGCTTTTTATTTCTCTACTAAGCTGAGGAAAAGAACCCCTGCAACTCTCCTGCAAGTGCCCTCCCCTTGGCCACCAGTAAGAAATGCCTTCAATAACGGGTGTGTTGAAGTAGACACTGAGACTACTGGTGTGGCCAGGTGGGGGACCTCAGGGCACCTCAGGGCAGGAATCACTGACAGGGAGAAGAAACTGGGCTGCCACAAGACAGGGTTCAGAAAGCATGAGAAGACAGGAAAGCACTCCACAGGACTCAATGCATGCTTTGTTTGGGGCTAATGGAAGCTAACAAGCAGCCTGAATCAGCTGGATTCAATTTTAAAGAACTTATTGTTGAACTTTCATGTTGGCATAGAACAAGATTTTGAAGAGTTCTGCTGTACTTATAGAAATGTTGTACACCTATTCTTCCTTAGGAAAAGAAACATGCAAAACCCACTACCACGAACTCTGCAGTCCCACAGGTGGGGAAATCGCAGGGGTCAACACAGCCGCAGTCCAGTGCCGGGGGTGCTCTGGGAGGACATCTACCTGATCATGGGCTCCACCCCAGCACAGCTGCGCACAACTAGCGGTGTACACACGCGGTGACTTCCTCTCCTCCCCAGGCTCTCCTTGCGCAGATCCGCAGATCCCAGAGAGGGTCCCGCAACAGGCCAGGAGGATTTCCACAGCGTGGGACTCGTGCGTGGATCAGCAGCCGGTGCCGGAGCAGCAGCCCCCGCGCGGCCTCATCTGCATGGGCGCCGCCCCTCAGGGTCCCCGAGGGTCGCGCCCTTCCCATAGCCTGCTTCCGGCCTCTCGGTCCCGCCTAGGGACCTTAGGTGGTTCGTGAAGTAGCACAAAGCAGCCTTAGTTGTGCACCCAGCGAGAGCCTCCTGGAGACTGTCCATCAGCCACGCTTACCGCATTTTGTCGTTTGTGTTAGCCCCACTTGGTGCTAGAAAGACAATTTTCAAATTCCACCAAGACGAAACTATGCTGCCCAAGCAGAGAGGACCGGGCCAGTCTCACACGCGGGGCGGGACACTGCCATCTCCTCATGGGCGTCTCCTCACCTCACCGGGGCTTAGTTCATTGCTGCGCCTGTTCCATTCCGCAAAGGCAGACACAAGACCACACGAGTCTGACCAAAATCCCTCGGGGAAGTTGCATCTG